AAGGGTCGTCGAAACGGCATCTCCCAAGAGTTTGACCGACGACCGTCGTCTGATCGCCGATTTGAAAACCAACGAACAAGCGCCTCCGGTTGATGCGGAACGGAGCTAAGGAACGATTTCCTGTTTGTCTTGAGCTGCCTTTGGGGTTTTCAGCATCTGGTCTTTTCGATATTGACGTCTGTTTGAACATTTACCCTCATCTGTGCAAGATATGGCGATTCTGAATGGTGGACACATGTTACGGGACAGAGGAAGGATTTTATAACATTACTCAACGTGTATCAGCAAGGCAAGGCACACTAGGAAAAAAAGGGCCAAACAACACTTTTGTGAACGCACATAAAGCACGTTTCATCAAAGTTCTGCACGCTAAGAACACAAAAACAACACAAACCCGTAAACTTTGTACACGTTTGAGCACGTGTTATTTGGCCCTTTTTCTCCTAGTGGCACTGGCTCTCGGTTCCCAGTTTCGCCCATACCACCGACGATTTGTTCAGCGAAAACGCAACGCATTGCAACTTGATGCCACATATCCTTCATTGCCTCCGCTCACGGCACTGTGCTCCCGATGCCGACCACGAGTGCACAGATGAGATGGAGACGCCGATGGAGACGGTGATGGAGAGTTGGGGAAGATTTGTGACCAAGAACGAAAGAAAATCAGGTCGTACAAAGGGCACCCACACTAGGATACTGTATGCGAGGCTCTTTTCCATGCTGTGAAAGACGATATAGAACCTCCGCTGGAGAGGTGGGCGGAGAAGGAGATGGGTCAGGATTGCTCGGTTGGGCGTCAGGGCCTAAGGTGCGTATATGCTGGGTCTCCATCTCTGTCTCGTCTCCATCTTGCCTCTGTCTCATCTCCATGCAACAGTACAATCCGACATTTTGAGATGCCACCTGCGATGCCATTTGACACAAATTGATGCCGTTACACCTACTTTTGTGCAGTCTCAGTCACCGTGATTGCGCACTTTGCGTCAAAATGGTATCGCAGTTGGCATCACAAACATGGTGTTTCCGGTAGTGGTACTGGTGGCCTGTATCCCGAACACACTCATTCCGTCGGAAGGACGGATGGGCTGTCGCTGCGGACCTCCCTCCCACCCGCTTCACATTCCCGAACCTTCTTCCGCCCGCACACCTGTCCCCAACCTTCGGCAACTTCCCCACAGCCCCATCACGTGACCGGCCCCCCACCAGCCCGTCCGTGCATTCCCACCCCAACCTTCGTACACTGCCGTACCACGTGACACCTGACGCGGCCCCGCGGATGGTCGCGCCGGCAAAAAGTCGCCAGAGCGGCGGGCGGCTGTCGCGACAACCGCCACGGGTATCTCCGTCAACGCCTCGCGCTGCCGGAGCTGACTGCTCAGCGCGGCGCCGCGCGCTTTTCGGCGCTCTTTTTGTTCTGGGGTCTTCGGTTTTGGTGTTGGGGCGCCCGGGGCTGGCTCGCTGTGTCGAGGCCCGCTTGGGGCTGCCTTGCCGGCGGGGCGGGCGCGGAGCTGGAGGATGGGCGCGGTGCAGTCGGCCTACCCGCGGTCGAGACATGTGGGTGAAGGGGGTTGAAGGGGGCGGGGAGGGGGAAGTGTCAGCGTGCAGGGGGGTTTTGAGGGCATGAGGCTGCATTTAGGGGGCCTCTGGCTCTTTAGATTCCGGCGATGGCGGAGGGATTGAGTCGCGGGAGCCGAGGGGTGGGGCAAGGGGAGCCGAGCTTTGGCCGTGCCCCGCTCCCCGGAGTCTTTTGCCGTTGCGATGCGTTCGGTGCGCCGCGAAACATGGTTTAGATTTGGGCGTCGCGGGAGGGCATGCGGGGCCACGTCTGCCGCGCGCTGTCTCGGAAGGGGCCCGCCCCGGCGGTCGTCGGGATGATGGCGTTGGCGTTTTAAGGGGCGGAGCGCTTTCACGCTTGGGTGGCGCCGCGTGCTGCGCTTGCCAGGAGCTCCTGTGAACAAGTGGCCTCTGCCTGCTCGCCCTTGAGAGGTTCGATGTGTGGTGTGGGACCCGGTCGCCGTTCTCTCGCCAAAGGGCCGGCCCAAACGTCTCACGACTTGGGGCGCTGCCAACGCCTCAAAGGGTCCTCCCGCTGTCCCTCGGGCATGCGGCGGGGTCTGTCGCCCTGTGGGCGTCCGTAGAGTGGACAGAGTCCGCCACGTCCTAAGTTCTCTTTCTCAGCGTGCTCCCCGTGGCGACGTGGCTTGATGGGTCAGCGTGTGAGTCGGGGGTGCTTTGTGGCCATCAGGAAGACGGTGACCATGACACCGGCGGACCAGGGAGCCCTGGATCTTACAGTATAGAGCCCTTTCCGACTGGTCAGGAACAGGTGGGCAGGCAGAAATTTCGGTGCGCCGCTGCTCAACAGGCACATTATCTGCTGAATGCAACCCAAAACATTCGTCGCCTTGAAGATTCTAGGGCAGTTCTTGTTCAAAAAGTGGCAAGTGCATGCAGCAGAGGATGAATACAAACTTTGGAAGAACAACTCAGGAACTCGCAGCCAATTTGCAACAGTGGTGGCGAGATGCAGTGACAATCTCTTGACCGTCATGTGAACTCTGGAAGGAGGCATTCATTGTGGATTACCATCACTCATTCATTGCCGAGTTTGTTTTGTTGAACATTGGCTTGCATGGACATCTGCTCACCACCCGCCGGCACAGACACTCACAGCCATAACTGGACACACAATGAGCGCCAATCCCAGGAATAACTTGAAAATCTTCTTAATGCAAGGTGATTTAGACGTCTACTGCAAGTGAAGAAGCACACTATGATGGAATATCCCCCCTTGTACGTTGCACAAATCCTGTGTGAGCACCTTGGTCCACACACGCCACCTGCCCCGCATGCTGCAGCTAACTGTTACCTGATCTGTCATTTTGAGAGCTGTCGTTTCCATTGTGTCAGTATGGAAATGCTGTTGTTCCCCTGCCGGCACTGGCCTTCTTACCACCTGGTCCACACACACCCCAGATCAGCTTGCGTGCTGCAGCTAAACCACTACATGAGCCATTTTTCCATGGGTTCGATACGGAAAACTCTTGCTGCCCTGCTTTCACCAGCCTCTTCCCTCCTGAGCCATTTTTAGTTTCCTTCCCCAGGTTGTGTACCCCAAGTACGAGGAGGCCTTGCGACTGGGTCTCGAGGCCTTCAGCAAGACCCGAACCAACAAGTTCCGCCGGCAGCTCCCCCACATTCTTGGCACGGTGGAATTCCAGTCGGACTCCCAGGCCCCTGGGATCCGCAGTGTGGATACGTTTGGCCCCACCGCTGCGAATGCGCCCCGGGGCAAGGAGGTGACTGCACTGGACTCGCCCAGCACCGCGGCCAGTGTGGGGACAGGCAGCAGCGACTTCGCCCGGATGGCGCAGGACATCGTGGACTCCTTTCAGCTGGGCGACCCGCACAGGGGCAGGCAAGGGGCGGCCGCCAGCCTGTCCGCAAACTCTGGCAGCATTACCTCAGTCCCTGAGACGTCTCTCGACGAAGCAGATGGGGAGTTGGCACCAGCCCTGGTTGTGGAGTGCAGGGCACACGTGGCTGAGGTTGAGGATGGTTTTCCAGCTGGTGGCATTGGGGAGGGGCTGCCATCGCCCGATGGGTGGGGGATGGTGCGACAGGGGTTGGATGCTGGCGGATCTCCTGGTCGCCGTGCTCATGACTCCATGTCACTGTCAGAGAATGGTGCGTGGCATTCAGCGTCGTCGGGCAGCGAAGGTCCGAGCCCTTCAGTGGAGTTTGTTGGCGACAGCAGGGAGGGCAGGGACAGCCTGCAGATGCTCGGGGCGCTTTTCCGGCAGGCGACCTCCAAGCTGGTTATGGGCTCGGTGGCTTCCATGGCGACCGGCGATGTGCCCAAGAAGGACAGAAGAAGCGACTCCAACAGCGTTGGGCCCGCTGGCAGTGACAAAGATGCAGAAGCTGTGGCAGAAGGGCTGCTGCTCGAGGAAGCAGAGACCTCACAGGGTGCTGGCTTGACATGTTCTTTGTCTGGGGCTCTTGAAGAAGGTTTGTTTGATGATGACGAGCTCAAGGCAGAGCTGGAGAGGCTCAGTGCTTCGGGGACAGCTGGACAGGCGTCATCGAAGCCCACTGCGATGGGGGATGACCATCTCACTGCAGGTTCCTTCAGCGCAAATCAGGACCTGAACGCTGCCTTGGATTGTGAGCGTGTGTCACCACAACCTGGGAACAAGGGCGGAACAGCCAGGAAAGGAGCAGCGCTGAGCTGCATACCCGAGGAGCGGGATAGCCCTGGTGCTCATTTGAGCGGGATTGATCAACAAGCACTCGGCAAGGAGAATAATTATTGAGTGGGCCAAATACCTTTAAATTTGCTGGCACATTGGCCAGTTGGGATGCAGGGTAGCCAGTAGTTAGTGCTGAGCTTGTTGGCTGATGTTGCACAACATACTAAAACATGCGTTGCTCGATGCTGCATCAGTGCATCTTGCATGCATGCACCCTGCCTTGGTTTGAATGTGTGATGTGCAGGAGCATTTCTGTGAGGCTGCTGGTTGCCTCCATCTGGTTGTCAGTGCTTTGCCAGACACATCAAAAGGGGGTTGCGTGGGGTTTGAGAGAGGAGTGCATAGGACCTGAAACTTCGTGAAACTATTGAGAGAATGCAGTATTAGGCGTGCAGAATTCGCTGCTAATGCATTGGTGAAAGGGCCTTCTTTGTGGCATGCTTGCCTGATCAACTGTTGCGCATCTGGGCGATCCCAGCAGGATAGCGACATGCATACCTTCAACCTGGGCTGCCTGGTACGAGAACGCCTGGGTATCTACCATTCGCCTTGGTAGCTGGAACCAGGATGGCATTTAAAGGGGGTTTTGGTAGGATTGCAATGCTGGAGTCTGAAATTGTGACAGCACTATCTGGAATATTGATACTGCGATGGCGAATGGGGGACTGTGGAAGTGCGATGCAATGCTGCGAAGGGCCCTTTGCTGTCTGGCCCGCTCGAACGCAGCTGGGATGCTTGGCTCAGAGGATGGGTTGGAGTATTCGCCCTCGTGCAGAAGTTGCAGGAAGTCCGCTGTGCGAACCAAAGGTTGTGGATCTTGGAACGACTGCAAGGCCAATTTTGGCACGTCGATCCTGTCGACATGCACAGCTCCGCGAGTCGCATTTTGAATTCTTTGTTGCGGCTGCAGATAGCGTCGTCTTTGGCTGTTGATTTCCCAGGCTGGTCCTCGGGGCCCATACCGCCTATGACGGCCACCTGTGCTTCGCTGGTGCGTCTCTGGAATGTGACCGGACCACGGGGGCGTAGTGACAATTTCTTCAGTATTAGCGGGTGTCAGGCGGCTGATGCGGTTTTGCTCAGCCTGTGCCTGGATGGAGAGCCGGGATGGTGATTGCAGTATTTGGATGGGAGACGGGGATTCTTGCCCGGCCGGCAGCGCTGGGAGCATAAACTAGATTTGCTGAGATGGCAATTGGAGCACATTAACATTATAAGAGTTGCGTTGGGAATGAGATGGCTGTTGCTGTTGCTCTTTTTTCCTTGTTCCGAAGTATTATGTCGCATTCCAAGGCCTGGGTGGCCTCCCTCCCCTCTCACACAGGATATGCGCGCTTGTGCCATCTGACAAGAGAGTGCATGGCGATGAAAACTCCCAAAGGTGTTCGCATCCACATGACTACCCAGTCTCGAAGAGGAGAAGTCCAGTATACGGGGGGCCCACAAAAGATCAGTAATCGTCGATTACTGATGGGAGCGATTTGAATTCGTCCGTTTGTCTGTTTCAGTGAACAGAATCAGAGCTGTTGCTGTTGTTGTCGTTGTCACTCATTCTTTTGTTCTCAGAAATCAAAACACAATTAGGAGGCCACCCCGTGCTGGTAGCAGGGAAACGAGTCGGCGGCCGCCTTTCAAGAAAGTCTGGGTTGCTGCTACGAAATGCGATAAAGTAAAATACGAAGTACTATAAAATGCCAAGCCTTGTGCCGCTTTCTTGCCAAGTACAGCTCCGCAAAGGGCTCCAGAAAGGAATCACGGCGAGATGGAAATAGAAATAGAACTCGAAATCAGACAAGTGTTGCACTCTATGGGGCTGCCAAACGACGTATCGCAACAGATCGCACCGCCAGTCATCGCTGCCAATGCGTTACCCATTTCACACAATTTGCGAATGTGTTCGATTGCGTAGCAGTGGGACCTTGGTGATTGCCACTCACTTTGCAGAGCGACCTTGCGACCCTTGCGAGCGTTTGGCACACAACGTCGCCTACATCCCTTTCATGCCCCTATTTTGTGCAGCCCGCGTGGACGGCATGGCGACCTTCAGGGCAGAGTCGAGCGAATGGATGCAGGAGGGACGTAGTGTGGGTGAGCCCTGTGCAATTACATTTGCAAAAGGACAAAGTAAAGCCTTTGCACCGCAAAGTGGCGATGTCGGGCAATGATACCACACAATATTTTTTTGAAACCACAATTTTTGTTCCACACAGCAGGCCATCCTAAGGGGCAGCCAGCAAGCCGAGTGCAAAGAAAGGGAAAGAGAAGGCCCACACTAGCAAAAAGCGTATCAAATAGCGCTTTTTGCGAACACATATGAAATGCATTTATCATTTTTTTGCACTCAAATAACACAATAGTAACCCAAACCCATTAACTTTGTACACGTTGGTACGCATATTATTTGGCCCTTTTTTCCCTAGTGACATAGCCAGCCCGAGCCTATGGATCTCAAGTGCGGCCCTTCCACCCATTCCTGCCCAGCCACGGGTATGCCGCTGGAATGAAATAGAATGGCAAAACCAAGATGAAGTGCAGGAAATGAGAATGTAAAATGAAATGAATGGAAGATAGAACGTCCCACGTCTAAAATCCCCAAGGCACCCCGCCCGGCACCTTGTCCCAGCATCTCTTCGCTTAGGATCAAAATCCCAGTTCCTTAAGGCAGTTGGGACAAGGGCAGGCGAAAGCCCACTCAATCTGCGGGTCGCCCTGCTGGCTCGTGACAATGCGAGAAATGCGATCAATCGAGTGCAATCAAGAAAAATGTGATCCCGAAGTTTTGATGTGGCACCAAAAAATGTACAAAATGGTTAGCAATTCGCCCAACATCGTACAAGAAATCCCGATGTGGAAAGGCTTCGGCCAGAAACTGCGTCAGCAGGAGAAATCTCTACCAGCGAGAACACCCGACTCCAGCCCATTAGGGTGAAAAGAAAAAACCCACAACAAATTAAAGAATACACAAAAGAAATTCGAGGTGAGCACATTACGGACAATGGTGCGAAGGACGTGGCGGGCAAAATGAGTGCACACAGCATTGTCATTTCTGGACACTGGAAGGCTTTCAGCACGCTGCTCCGTTCCCTTACTGGCGCGAAAGTTCCAGAACAATTACTCCTCTTCCTCAATGCACCCCGGCTTCAGGAAGTCGTCGATGACCCCATGAAGGGCCCGCAGCTGGTCGTCGGCCACCTTAAAGCGGTTGATATCGCAAACGGAGGCCATGGAAATCAACAGATTGCCTGCTGCTCCGTAAAAGCCCTGTGTCAATAAACAAGAAAGATTTTTTGAAAAGAGAATTTCCTTCTGTATTGCAGATGTTCCAAATATCTGGCAACTCTCATTTCCCCGAATTAGGAAAGTTGAATCGAGAGATCTTTGGGCGTTATATCTCGCTTAAGAATTTGCATTCATTGGCTCCATCAGACGCAATATGGACACTTGGAGATCTCCTCTGATACTGCAATGTTAAATAATAAGGTAAATGCGTACATAACTGTGGGGTAATAATATTGATAGGGTGAATATCTACAAACTGCAGACTACAGTGTTGCAGTGGGGCAAACGTCGGGTACATCAGGTGCTGCTCCAACTGCCCATGGAGCAATTAATGCTCCTTATTCAGCACATGGCTTACAGCTATTTGATCGATGCCGAAATGTCCATGGTGAAACGTGCTTAGGATAGATTCAAAAGATACCGCAATAAACATATGGCTACCTTTTGGGAACAGTGGACACGAGACCATGACAACGCGTATTCCGCCGTCTTGAATGAGAATTGCCCTAAAAACAACTCTCACCCTAATGCAAATGACAAGTTATGCTCACCGGGAATGAACATCAAGGCCACAGCATTGCTGTAGTGAATGGCATGCTAAGGCACGTCCGGAGATCAACGCGCTATGAATATAAAATTACACTTTTCTATAAATGTTAATAATCTTTTGGGCCTAATCTATGTATTCAGCATTAATGGCACAAGGCATGGGACACTCGCCTGCTCGATAAGCGTGCGCTCCATGATCAATATTGCGACAACCACATCAGGGCATTCTGCCACCTCCTCTCGCAGACACAGCTTGGCGCAAGCCGCTGCGATACGGAGCAAGCTGGGGAGGAATCCCGTGTGGATCTGGAAAATGAAAAATATCTTCAGTCAAGATCAGCGTTTCGGTGCAGCTATCGGTGCGAGGATAGAAAAAAAAAGTAAAAGGGAAAAAAGCAGACCGGTTCTCGTCTTGGAAGCGTAGCGTCGCCAAATTAACTTCCAGGTAGAGAAAGCACTATTATATAGCATCACGGCAGCACAACAATGCTCTGCGCGAATAGCACTGGGTGCTATTACGGGGTGCTCTTTGGCCTCAAGCGTTGCTATTCGAGCCGAGAATTGCACCGCTCGGCACCAAATAGCATCGGCGGTACTATTGGGACGCTAATGCTCCTCAACAGCCAGTGATGGCTTTTTGACGTGCGGTGCTATACGAATAGCGGAACAGCACCGCCGGGACAGTAGCACCCACCGATAAAATGCTCTTAATGGAGGAGAAAGCACTATTTTGACTTTGATACGCTTAAAGTCAAATTGGCATTAAGCTCAGACCCACCCCCACCCACATTATTAGCTTCGATTCTTATTTTAATGCCCGGATGACCCAACAACATTACCTAACAATGCCATGCGACTTCAATTTTAAGGGAATAAACAGCCAGAGTGTTGGCAATTGCGGCGATTGAAAAATCGGATGCCAGAAGCGATGATAGGCGATGGGAGCAGCCCAAAGCCTGAAATCGATCCATTCTGTGGAATGCCCAATGATTGAAAAGTTGGAGGGAGGTTTTTCAGCAAAGTATGAGCTAGTGCAGCTTTCTATATTTTTTTGATTTTATTGCTATTACGTGTTTTCTAACGTCAATTGCTTCCCCACCCCCACCCCTCCACGCTCATCCCCGCCCCACCCCCTTTACTTCAATTAGACGTTAAGGCATACCAAAGTCAAAATAGTGTCTTCCCTGAATCAGCTGCTTCAATTGGAATACAGTGATGAAATTATGGCTCTGGAT